CAGAGGCACTACAAAAATTCCTGTAAGCCATAACAAGGCTACCTGTTTGGCCTAGGTACAGTGCAATGCAATTTATCCTCACGCAGATCTAACAAGACAAATCATCATTTTAACATTGGGACAAATCATCAGTTTGGCCGTAATAAGCATGCAGTCCTGAATCACCTTAATTCAAGTCTCTTGTGAAATTGATAGAAATTGAAAAGGGACAACTGAAAACATACAAACATACAAGACACAGAAATGATAGGACTCGCTACAATATTATTACCTTGCTGACAGCCTTCAGTGGGTACCCTCCTCCAAGCCTTGGATCTCTGCAAGCTAGGGTTACTAGCCATCAACAAAAAATCAGGATGTCAACTAGCCATCAACAAGCTTGATGTACAACAATGAAACCAATCACAAATATAAAAGGTCACAAAAAAAGGATGACACATGATGTATACAAACCAGGGAAGAACAGCCTAAAAGCTGGCAATGCTTCTATCTGTGGTGCACACAAAACCTGAAAATAAAGGACACATTAGCATGGAGGAACTGATTAAGATAAAAACACACATCGTGGATTCAACCAAATCTTCACTACCTAAAAGAGCAAGAACAACAAATGAACAGACAGTGATGATGCCACACACTGAGACTAATACATTCTACTAAAAGCACTAAATAGACATACTGAAACTACAACAGAGTGTATTGAACCTTGTATGCAACAGAGGAAACAACACAAAAGAACTGAATCTGATTGAATCATGAGTTCAATAACCCTAATTAACAAGTTCACCAAAAAAAAGTTCACCAAAAATCTAAACCACCATTCAGAAAAAAAAAATTCAAAAACTAAAGATGAACCACAGCTGTAAAAGACTGAACACAATAGATCAGCAAATCTAAAGAAACCCTAACAAGGACTAACAGAACAAACCCTAGATGCATTCGAACCTCACCCACACAGAGCCGCATTCGCTCATCGACAGACAACAACAAGCAATGCATCAAAACGAGATCTACAACAAGCAATGCATCAAAACGAGATCTACAAACAAACCATATCTGCTCTAAATCGACAGGTACAGACACAAGGACCTAACCAACATGAAAAGGAGGACAATCTCACCCATAGCCCCACTCGTTCCCTGCCGCAGACAACCTCCAACCCACCCACCGCCTGCCAACGCCACCGTGCGATGCGGAGAGGATTTGGTTGCAACCTAATCCTCAACCACATCCGCTGCCGCAACCAAATTGACAAACACAACCCAAAAAACCCTAAACCCAAACCAAATCGAAATGGAATCTAACAGATTTGAGACCTAGCAATCTTACCAACACAGAAACGGGATCAACTACGAACCTCAACAACGAGTCCGAGACAAAGAAGAACGAGCCGGAGCAACTGCCGCTTCCGCCGATCAAATCGCCTCCAGTGCACCGGGAAGCAGCTAGTCGACAGGTCACCGAGCAGATCAACAGGAGGAGGCGCCGCTGCCGCCGATACACCGCCTGGTCACCACGCCGGGAGGGAGAGGGTTGCAGTCGCCGCAATGTGAGCGAGAGAAATGGGACGCGACCCCTCGGCTACCCGGCGAAGTGAGCGAGAGAAATGGGGATGTGAGCGAGAGAAATGGGGGAGCCACGCGACCCATCGGATACCCGGCACGACTTCCAAAATACAAACAGTAGCAGTGGGACCCACGCATCAGCCAGACAACGAAAGGGCACCTCACTCTCCACCAAAACCAGCGCTCCCAGCCCTCCATCGCCAGATGAACGCAACAAAAAAATCATGTGCTGCCAACAAAAGAAACACACGGGCAACAGATAGCAATTCCGTTTTTATTTTATTAACGCAAAATTCAGCTCTTCTAGATGCAATCACGCAGCATGCACGTAGTTGCCTATGTACTTCCGGTAGAAATTCTTATGCACACGTCATGTATAGTAATTGCGACAAAAAAACATAATTGCCCAACTCAATGGTAAGACAAACGCAATTTGATCTGCAAGATCCGTATTGGCGGTATGTATCTGCGAGATGCAATTCTTTCATACTTTGCAGGATGCCAATTTGATATGCCTCACATGGCGTGTAGGGTTGTGGTTAGTAGATAATATCGCATAGAGCGTTTGGCATTGTCGTAGAACTATCTGCTTGACGTCGACGGTGTATGTCAATGTAGTGCAGATCGGTAGCAGGTAGAGGTAGCAGATCTGTTCCGCTAACAACGTCTGGATGTCGACGTCATCGAAGTAGTCGCGGCGCGGGACGTCGACGGTACAAGCGTCGGCATCGAAGATCGATGACGGCTTCACCGGCGATGTCGACGAAGAGCTTGTCGTACTAATAACGTGTTATGAAACATATTGCTAGCGGTTATGACCTTCCCTCTCCGTCTCTTATAATTAACACAATAGATGAAAGTAGAAGAACAAATAGACATAAGATAGGATGACTATTCTTTATTCATCTGAATATTGATAATTTACAACGTAAAGCTCCTACGTATATATAGTTTTTCTTTCTTCAAGATAGAGTCGGTATGTTTTACGATTACAACAGGAATGTTGAGAAGCGATTTCTGGCCGATGAGGAGGACAGAACCTACTATTATTAGAATCGGAACTGCGGTGGCGGGGGAGTGGCGCATGTGGACCGGGCAGGAGCTTGTGTATGGGCGCGGATGTGAAAAAGATGAAAACAGAAGGGTAGGTCGTTGGTGGACTTGGAGTGAGCTTCCGGAACCAGGGCTTGAGGGTACGATTTGAGAGGCTGATGAGTAGAGTTTCTGGAGCTTGATTTTTGGGTTTTGATTCATAAAAATAGAATAGGGCCTCAAGTACCGTGGAACGAAGAGTATCGTCATCACAATTTGCTTTGGGCCTTGTTTAGTTTACATCAAAATGGCCAAGCCACTCTCTCCATCACCGAATTTTTAGCCTTGGAGTGAGCATCCGGAACCAGGGCTTGTAAAAAAAATAACTATTTGAGAGTTTGTTGGAAATCAGAGATGAATTTTTGAGAGTTTGATTTTTGACAATGATTTATAAAAATAGAATAGCCTCAAGTACCGTGGAACTAGTATCGTCATCAATTTTTTGCAATTTGGACGCCATAGGTCTTGTCGGACGTGTGGAGGTCTTGTAGATCAGTGGAGACGTAGATCAGTGTGTTTAGTGGGAGGAAGTTTGTAATTTCAGCTACCGTAGCACTTTCGTTTTTATATGGCAATTAATGTTCAATTATGAATTAATTAGGCTCAAAACGTTTGTCTCGCAATTTCCCATCAAACTGTGTAATTAGTTTTTTCGTCTACATTTAATGCTCTATGCACGTATCGTAAAATTCGATGTAATGAATACTGTAGCACTTTTTTGAAATTTGGTTTGGAACATGGGCTCAACGCTGAAATGCACGCAAGGCTGACGTGCCTCTTCTTCAGCCTTGTCACGCAAGGCGAAGGCCTGGCTTGTCTTGTCACTTCTCGTCGACCAGTATTCTAGGCCTGTAGCAACACAATCAACGCCCATTTCTGCCACTTGTGCGTTAGAGCCTTTTTAGTTTTCACTCAAAATCCAAAAAAGTGCTACAGTATCTATTATATCGAATTTTGCAATACATATACGGAGCATTAAATATAGACGAAAAAAAACTAATTGCACAGTTTGATTGGAAATTACGAGACGAACGTTTTGAGCTTAATTAGTCCACGATTGAACACTATTTGCCAAATAAAAACAAAATTACTACAGTAGCCCAAATTCCTAAATTTAGACACCTAAACACGCTCTTAGCCCTTGTTTAGTTTCACCCTAACTTTTAAAAAGTTGCTACAGTACCTGTCACATCGAATGTTTGCGGCCCATGTATGAATATTTACCAAATAAAAAATAAAATTGCAGATTTAACGCTGAAATTTCCATATTTAAATTTATTTACCAACTAAACAAAATTCAAATTCCTACCACTAAACACAGCCTTAGATTATCGAACCAAAATAATCCAACGCAAATCATGCTTGTTGAGTGATGGAGTAGAAAACTACTAGGTTCGTGCATGCTTGGAATACCGTGTAGGTTTCCTCCTCGCTCGCCGGATCGCCCCGGCCGGCTGGCTGGGCCCAGGCACGCCGCACGCAGCAGCGGACCGGCGGCCGGCGTCCCCGTCTCACGACGCCTGCCGCGCGACCAGAGCCACACGCTTTTAAAAAGAGTCTACCCAACGACCATGTATTTTATACAGTTTCAACATATAAATTTTTTGTACTATATAATTAAGATCCAACAGCCTTTATCCTCCTTCCACATCCAGCCTTTTTCTACTCCAACCTTCTTCTAACTTTAGACAATCACAAATCATAAGATCACAGATCCAAGAAACAATTTTTTATACAAGGATAAAAGGACAAATTTGTGGCACGCGTATACGCGTATAGGTTCAGTGCTGCCCCCGCCACCTGCAGTTCGTGGCCATGGGTCGTCTGATTTGGGCGGACTCCGCCGACGCGGACGTGTTCCTGGAGGTGGTTGACGATCTCATCGGCACCGTGCAGGAGCTGGACGCCGCGGGGACCAACCGCGCCGACGAGTTGCTCACTGGTGAGGAAAAGAGAGAAAAAATCCATGTGTTTTTTTCTTTAAAACACATATGTGAGCAATTTCCCGCGGCACGGCACGGACGCTTACACTCGCTGATCGCTCCGTACTCCTCCCCTCGCGCGCTCGCCATCGGCCATCCCCGTCCTCCAGTCTGTACTCGCTTGGCTGCATCCGCGCTCCTGCTCCTACAAATCACGCCCCCATCTCCGTCTCCCTCCCCCCGTCTCATCACGAACAGTGCCTCGCTCTCACTGCGAGACAAGCGAGATGGAGAGAGAGCCGCAACCGCATGGACAGGTACAGGATCGCGCCGGCGCGGCCGGTCCAGCGGCGTCGAGATCGGCATCTTCACGGCCGAGCGCTACTTCAGCGCGACCGACGTCGGCAGGCGCGACGCCGCCATGATCCCCGCGCCCGCGCTCGCTCTCCCTGATCATGATCACGACCTGCCGCGGCTGTCCGTCCCAGCGGTGGCGGACGTGGCCAGCCAGAGCGGCCGCACCGTTGCGTCGTCGGAGGCCAGCTGGAACAGCCGATCCGGCCTGCTGTCTGCCGGGCACCTGGCCGCGGCCAGGCAGCAACAGCAGACGGGGAGCATTGGCGCCGGCGCCGCGGCGGGATATGGCAGCGATCAGGGTTACCGCGGCAGCAGGAGGACCGGTGGTGGTTCTGGCCCGCGCTGGACGCTGTTCGGCCGCGACTGCCCCTGCGCCGGCAGGAAGGCGGTCACCGTGGACGTCGCGTCCGAGCCGAGGAGCCCGGCGGAGACGGCGCACTTCCACGCCAAGTTCAGCCCGCAGTGTGCCGTAGAGGAGTGCCTGGAGAGCGCCATCTTTAAGGTGAAACAACCGTCTCCGTCTCCTCCGAGAGCCGCGACCGAGGAGCCCACCAATGTGAAGGTCACAGTAACACCGGGGAGCCGCGCGTTCCCTCTCACCGCCGACTTGCCGTTCACCGCTTTAAGCAATCCCGACATCGATCGCCGCGTCCTGAGCTCCGGCGGGTTCACGTTCCCAGCGCTCGGTGCGGCCAGGGTCGTGAGCGGCGGCGGCGGCGGCATCTTGGACGAGCCGCCGCGCGTGTCGCTGGAGGTGTTCCGCCCCATCGACGAGGACTCGGTGATGCTCGCGGACCCTCTGCCCGCCGCCGTGGCTCTGGCGGGCCGCGTCGGGGTGCTCCCGCGCGCCCCACCGGCGGTTGCGGCATTGGTGGTGGACGAGGAGGCGATGAGCGACGCGAGCTCGGACCTGTTCGACCTGGAGAGCTTCGCGGCATCCTCCTCGTACCCGACCACGTACCGCGGGCGGGGAAGCCGGCGCAACTCGGCCGACGACGACCTGCCCTACGTCTCCGCGGCGGTGGCCGCCGAGCCGGCGCTCGTGAGTGCATGTACCCGGCGAGCGTGGTGTGGAGCGTGGCCACGGCCGAGGGTGGCGCGTTCGACGCGGCCAGCGTGGCCAACTTCTCCAGCGCCGCGTCCGCGTGCTGCGTCGACGACCTCCGCTACGTCGTCCCGGAGTCCCCCGAGGCCGGGTTCACCGCCGCCATGTCCCGCAGCGCCCGCCGGAAGAAGAGCGGCGGCGGCGGTGGCGGGTTCCTCAGCAGCTGCCGGTGCGACAAGGCGGTCAGCGTGGGGCCCACGCCGGTGCGGGTGGTCCGGCCGCCGGCTCACCCGGGCGCGGCAGCAGCCAAGAGGTCCGGTGACGGCGCGTCACGGTACCACCACCACGGCCGCGCTCACGTGCCGGTCCGGACGTGACACGCCATCAAGCAGCCGGCGGCGACGCCAAGTGAACTATGTACATGCGCGCACGAGGTTGCCATTTTTTTTGCCGGTGGATTTCTGATCATGACTTGTCGCTATGTACAGTAGCAGTACAATAAGTTGTTTTATTTGGATTGTAGTGAGCGAATGCGAAACTGCTGTGTTAATATAACGGCATTGTCCACCCACTCATGCTGCTTTGATTGATTTCTTCAAAGTGTTACACAAAATGGGGCACCTCTATAGTCTACACTCATTTCCTCCTGCTCGTTACAACTCATGTGTTCAACTTCCACTATGCTGTATGATCGCTTCGCGATTAATAATAAGGGGGCAACCACTTAAGAATATATGTATGGAATATAATGGTTTGTTTGGAAATTTGTCTGGGCACATTTATTTAGAAAGACGGCAAGAGTTTTGCCGAGATTATATTAGACGAGGAAAAATAAAAATAAGTATAAGAAAGGGGGCAACGACTGTCCTATATGACTACTTATATACACTTGTATTTGGTTGGGAGACATAGTGGGATGGCCATCCCTGATTCTAGAGATATGCGTCCTTTTCGTTTGACTTATAAGTCGTATTTTTTCAGCCAACGAACAATATTTTTCTCTCACAACAAATTAGACAACGGTACTTTCAGCCATGGCTTATCAGCCAAACGAACAGGGCAATGGTGATCAAGATTTCTGTTTAATTGGAGGGATGTGATGATTCTTGTTTTTTTCCTTGGTTAGAGGGATGATAATGGATAGAATGGTTCGGTTTCAGGTCTGGCCCCGTCGCTTCGTTGAAAAAACAAGCCGAAACACTATTTCGGTTAATTTATTGTGAAAGAAAAATACTGTTCTACCTAAAAAACAAGCTGAAAAGTACGGATTACAAGAGAAACGAACAAGGCCATAGAGGGATGAGAACTGGACAGCTAGATATGGTTACCTCCTCATGAAAGTTGGTGAGGTTATCTCCTCATATTAATCTTTTCTTACAAACTTAGTATCAATTAGAAGAACAAACCATAATGAGTATGACTTAGTATACTTATTAATTACTAGTTATTAATGTTATTGCTTCCACTAAGATCAGTCTCAATGGGGGTTTTATGTTTTAATTTCTAAGACTCCCAAGTATTGGAAACAGTGTAGACTAGTTTCACCGTATGAAAACTTTGCTCATCTCTCTCTTCATTAACATTGTGCCATATCAATATATTTGCTAAGTTGATAACTTATTTAATGCTCATGAAACTCTCTAATCATATTCTACACGGACGTCTTCATCTCTCATCTCATTTATTTGCCACTTCTTGGCCTTAGCAAAATGAACTAGCATCAAAATTAACCAATTCAGCTTGTTGACGGGTGGGCCATAAAAAACGTGGGGCCCTGCCGGCAAGGACTAGGTTATCTATATTCACGGGTAAAAAAATGGTTTGAACACTTTTAAAATATTTGTTTGAATAAACTCAATCTCTCACAATTGATATGGATTAGAGTAAAAAATAAACTAATTTGACACCTGAATTGCTTCCCATACATATGGATCGAACAAGCCTTTAGTTTCAGAGAGGAGGTTGTGCCGGTCGCAAAATGTCAAAAGGACACAAATCAAACCGTGGTGGTGGTGTTTTTTCCCCTAAAATTTTGGACGCACCTCACTTTCATCCCTTTCTGGACATTTCTTATTTACAAGCCTCGTATAAATTTAGGGTGTAAAGTTTTAGAGTGTCACATCGAGTGTCACGTGGGATGTCACATGGGGTATTCAATACTAATAAAAAAAATAAATTACAGAATCGTTAATAATCCACGAGACGAATTTATTAAGCCTAATTTAATCGTCACTAGCACGTGTGTGTACTATAGCACCACGTTGTCAAATCATGAACTAATTAGGCTTAAAAGATTTGTCTCATAAATTAGTATTTTCAGTCTATATTTAATATTTTATACATATGTCCAAACATTCGATGAGAAATGGAGTAAATTTTAGAGAAGTAACCAAATAAGGCTTTCTAAAATTTAGTCACATCGATAAAGAGTATTAAATATAAATTAATTACAAAACTAATTACATAGATGGAGCTAATTTCCAAGATTTAATTTTTAAGCCTAACTAATCTATCATTAGCAATCTGTATCGGATGAAGAATAATCAGAGTGACAGGACGTCCCAATCCCGCCTCCTTTTTGCGTTTGAGAGTGGAGGCGATTTTGCTACACATCGGCCACTGTTGAGAGGCAGACCACTCGATCGACCGGTCTCCGGCCTTTCCAACTCAAGCTAGTAGCTAGGAACATTCATTCATTCTGCTGTCTGGAGGTAGCTTCTCCTCAGACTCAGATACCCAATGACAGTATCTATCTGTTTTTCTTTTGTGTTCAGGAAATTAAATCGTCTGTCGTGTGACGTGCATTATAGAGGGATGAACTCTGATGGAATTGCAAGCGTATCGAATGAGAATTAATTCAGTTCTGATTTCTAAATTTAAGTAAGGTCTCTGAAATGGAGGGGAGCTTGTTTGTGTGTGCTGAGCGTGCATACATAGTTAAACCGTTGGCTTAGTTTGTTTCTTTTAGACTAGTCCATTTTAGGGCCCATTTAGGTCCTCCTTTGGAACGCAGGATTGAAAAAATGTAGAATAGAAAAAATAGAGGAATAGTATAGGAATGCATGTGTAAAACAAAGGATTTAAAACACAGGAATTAAATAGTTTTTCATTTTGATGAGTTCAGGAAAAATTAGGAAACATGTCGAGATTTGGTATTAAAAGATGATCATGAATGGTAATCATCAACGTTCTGCATCAAATGACTGTACATTAATTCAGTCTATCCTCGTGAAGCCAATTTGCCTCGATCCTAACGTGAAGGTGAAAAAAGAGCTCTGAGCTGATGTTACGAATGTTTGTTTTCCCGTGAAACCAACACATAGAAAAATCCTTTACTTCTCCTATGCCTTTGTATTCAAATAATGCTACAGTGCTCAAATCCATAGGAATGAGAATCCTCTACTTTTTTTGAAGTTCCTTTGATCCAAAGGAGGATTGATAGGTGAAAATGTTGGATTCTCATTATAAACTAGAAACCAGTCAAATAGTGGATAGAATTGCATGCCTCTTAAAATGAAAGGATTTAAAACACAGGAATTAAAAAAAGGAGAATTGGCATTAGGATGAGCCCTAGTAATATTTCTGGTTTTATACATAGGAAAATCACCACCAAAAAGATGATCCTGAATGGTAATCATCAACCTCTAATCTAGAAGTATTGAGGGCATATTGAATTGTTCTTCATCATAGAAAGTTTAAATACCTATTTGAAAACATATCTATTTCTATGGTATCCTATAAAACCATGTTTTTTGAAAAAAGAATTTGAGCTGATGTAGCCAAACGATTTGTGAAAATGATCTGGTTCACTAAATAAAATATAGATCCCTATATGAGCATAGGAAAAAATCCTTTACTTCTCCTATGCCTCAAGCCTGTATCCCAAATGATGCTACAGTGCTCAAATCCATAGGAATGAGAATCCTCTACTTTTCCTTTGAAGTTCCTTTGATCCAAAGGAGGCCTTAGATGGGTGAATCTGTTTGGATTCTCATTATAATCACTAGAAACCATGTCAAACAGTCATGGACAGAATTGGCTCTACCTCTTATCAATGAAAGCCGGTAACCGATCTTTTGGAAAAAAAAAAAGAATTGGCTCTAGCTATAAGTGCTTGTAATATTTCTGGTTTTATATGTAGGATCAAAATCACCACCAAGTAGTTTCTCCTGGTTCTATTCATACCTTACTCCCCCTCTAATCTAGAAGTATTAGAGGGCATATTTGAATTGTTCTTCATGCATAGAAAGTTTAAATACTTTATTTAAAAACATATCTATTTCTATGGTATATTTTCATATAAAACCATGTTTTTTGACTCCCTTTAAAGAATTTCGATCTTGCCAGCTAGCCAAACGATTTGTGAAAATGATCTGGTTCACTAAATAAAATATAGATCCCTATATGAAATGTTCAGACTTCAGAGTCGACGCAACAACCAGATTAAATAAAAGCAAAGTCTCATCCCTACACAGAATGAATGAATGACTGAATGAATGGCACTGATGAACTGTGTGCGACTGCAACACTACCTAGCATGGCAAAGTTAGCCCTAGTAGCTGTTTGGTTTATTCTTGCATAAGTACGAACCTGTTACTGTAGGGTGCACATGAAGTGCATGGCGATCGGCGAGCTACCAGCAAGCAGCAAGCTGTACATGTTGTCCACCACCTCATGCTAGATTTCAATAGGCTAGCTAAATGAAGCCTAGAACCACTCAGATATGTGGCTCGAAGCAAACCAGGGCCAAGGCATGAGAAACATGATGCATGAAGATGTATGTCAACAATCTCTTCAGAGCTATTATTAGTTAAACGAAATTATTGTCCATTTATGAAGGAAATATAAGCTGGCCATTCGTAGTGTCTTCACCCGGCTAAGTGGGGGATGACAACTTGCTCGGTTGTGGCTCCGTGTGGTTCCCTTATGCTATACGGTGCTCATACAGTCATACTTGTGCTCGTGTCGATTATAAATATCTCTTTTTAAGTGTCAAACGTTATTAAATTTGATTAGGTTACAAAATATTAACAATATTTGTATCTCTAAATAAATTTATTATGAAAATAAATTTAATAATATATCTATACTATAAATATTAATATTTTTAACAGTGAGAGCAACGGTTAAAAAGAGACAGGAGGAGTATTTAACAGCAATTGAACTTCCAAACAGAAATCCAACCGTATTATTGTTTTTGTAATGCAAACGGTCTAGTACCTGTTACTTGTTGAATAAAAAAATTTCAAAAGCTTACACTCTGTTCTTCGGACACTACTTTAGCAGTATTTTTCAACAAACGAATAATATTTTCTTCACATAACAAGAGCATCAATATAAACCAAATTTTGGTAGAACGAACGGGGCCTCAGTCCCA